CCACGAACAATTGTGAGAATAACAAGACATTGGATTTCAATTGTTTTCTTTTATTGTTTTGTAATCCGAGTATTATTCAAAGGAGAATATTAATTATGCTAGAATACGATGGCATAAATAACATGGAAAGACGATGACATAAGGATATGAAAATTATAAAAGAATTATTCAACGACGTGAGATAACATGAGCTCGAATTAAGAAAAAAACTTCAGATTTTAAATCATATGACCCTTATTTAATTTTTTTATCTTATAAACAATCCATATCGTATTCTTTTAATTTACACACACACACACACACACACACACGCACACACACGCACATACACGCACACACGCACGCGCGCACACACACACACACGCGCGCGCGCACACACACACACACACACACACACACACACACACACACACATTGGAGTGACAATGTTCCTGCAAAAGATTAATCGCTAAATCACTTGTATAAAAGCTACAAATGTATATAAGAACTATATTCTCTTCTACAGAACTAGTATGTAAGCAAAAAGTTATAGTAAATTCGATTGAACGCACTAGTGCATTGATACATATTAAAACTGTTATACATTGATTAAATCTGAGTGTAAAAGTGAAATGCAAATATTTTGAATTATAAAATATATATTTTATTTAACAGCATAATAAAATGTATTGATGTTATATTAAACATACAACTTTATATCAATTAATATACTTATAACTTTAATGTATACCAGTGTTCACTGAGTGCGTCCAATTTGCTATTAATCTAGCACATACTGTTTATAATTTTATATCCTGGTGTACATTTGTAAAGTGCTTGCTATAATTACATACTGTCAACTATCAACTTGCACAAAGAAGCAAGTAGTAAATTACTTGTACGCATCTTAATGTCATCCTAATAAACGATGATCTACACGTGGAATCATGAAGACAAGTTTATGAATTTTAATGTATAGAAACAATTGTGCTTAAAATTTTGTCAGATTGAATCGACAAAAAAATATCGTAGAATGAATCGACTATTCTTGTGCAAACTTTACAATCTTAATCATTTTAAAATTGTGTATATCTACAGATACTCGTACACACACACGCACATACACACACACACACACATACACACACACACACACACACGCACGCAGGCAGGCACGCACGCACGCACACGCACACAAACGTACAAGCAGATATAGTCATTTCCAACAAAATTGATAGTTTGCAGACGAGTATTTCGAAAAAAAAAAAAAAAAAAAAAAATACTTCTTTCTAATATTCACATTGTCCGAGATTTATGATAATATAACAATCAATCTTGTTATACTATTCAACATCATAATCTTTTAACATTTCTTAGATATTACATTTTACATGGAAGATGTTGAAATTGATAACAGTTCGTTGTTTCAAAATGTATAAAAAAATATTGTAATAAAGCAGATTAATGAAGCACTAATTAAATATTTTAGTCTATATCTAAACTTAATAAATATTAATAAGTGCTTATATAATTTAGAACTTAAATTTGTAACTTCTTAGCTCATACTTAAAATTTCAGATATAAACAAATGCTTGAAATGTTATAAAATGTTTAAAATGTTATAATATATATTAATTTAATTGTAAATATCCAATTATGCGTATACTTGTACGGCATTATTGTTTAATGACAAAGAAATAAAACAATAAATGACATTAGACTTATATGTGAATACAAAAAAATATTTTGTTAAATTATAATAAAGTAAGAAATTAATGTATTAATATATAATGCATGTTACTGTATAATGAAATGAAATAAATACAAATTGGAAATTGTACAAAGATTGTTCAAGCTGAATCCTTGGGGCACTAGCTATGCTTGATTATTCGATCGTCTGCTTCGACGAGAAGAACTTGAAAATAATGGACGTGGTTTATATAAGTCATCGCTCGAATATCGTTGATGACTGGTCCTAACACGGCTGCAATTTGAAGGAATAATAATGTTAAACAGAATTGATCCTTCTCAAGTGATTCTTCTCGAGAAATTAATATTTATTTAAAACGATACAGTCAATCCGCGCATTTGTAGAATAGATACAAAGCATGTATAATAATAACAAAATAAATATAACAAGTATATAAATAATTTTGCACTATATAAAAATCTCAAAAAAAAAATGTAACATACCTCTTTTCTTCTTTGATCACATTAGTCGACGCTGTTTTATCGCTCGTGGCCGACACATCGCTGTCAGGGCTCAAAGGCATGACAAAGTTCTCGCCATTCGAGATCCCTTGTGAACTACATACATTCGAGAATCTGGGTTTCTTAGTATATTTCCTCTTTTTGACGACGTTAACAACGTCTTCATTGGGCAAGGATGACAATTTCTGCTTATAGCCATCATTATTGTTGTCCGAATTATTTACTAGTATGTCTGACAAGGGACTAGACGAACGTTTACGCAATTTCGGTAACGGTGGTGCCGCCATGGACTTCGGTATCGAAGAAACCACCTTGCCACCTAAACTTTCTATTATGTCCTCCAAAGACGAGTTCTCTACAAGTTCTAGAGATTCTAAGAAGTTGGAAAACCTTTCCGATTTCTCATTATCAGTCTTGAAGTAACGGCAGTCTTCGTTATCCTCGCTGATCGCGAAGGACGAAGATTTATTTTCCATACAATCAGTATGTGAGTCTATTGTATTAGCTTTGGATGGCGCATAGGTTTCTGTTTGTTTTTCATCCGATAATTCTTTATTATCGTCTCGTATTTCCCATGGATTGTCATTCTTCATTTCTTCGTTATCATCCTGTATTTCCACTTGATTATAATCTCGTGTCTCCGTATTCTTCTCTGTTGATTGTTTCACGTTGCTACTTCCTTCATGCTTCACAGGTTCTGATTTTTCTGGAGCTGCGGTTTCTTCCAGTTTCTGCGAAACAGGTGTTTCCTCCGCTTGTAGACGATTTTCTTCACTAACAATCATACGTTCTAGTGTTTTGTTCTTTAAATCTTCCTTAATGTCATCCTTATATCTCTTTTTAGAGACTTGCAAATCTTCTACATCTTCAATACAATGCGCATCGTGTTTCTCATCAATTTTAGAATTTTGTGTAGCCTGTGTTTCTTCTAATGATACATTTGATACTATCTCACTTGAAGACTGCCTTATGCACAACTCTTTTAAGAAGTCGTTTGTACAAGACTCGGTTCCTGGCATTATTATTGACCTCTCATCCAACATTAAAGGAGGTTCATCTTTTTCGGGATAAGGTTCTTCGTATTCTTCATCGGGAATCTCTATAATTTGTACTCGTTCATCGTCTGGCACACCCTCAAGATTATCGGCATTCTTCGTATTCGATTGACTCGTTTGGTCTGCTTCCTGTACAATTTTTTTCTCTACCTTTTTATCCTCTTTAAGTTTCTGTTTTTCCATTTGTTTCCTAATTTTCATCAATTTTTTAGCTTCGTGTATGTTTTTTGCGAATTTCGGTTTCTTGAGCTTCACATCAGAAGTTGAATTACCATCTTTATCTGACAGCAATCTCTTCTTTAACGGCAGATTTATGTCACGTGGATTTGTATTTTCTTCTTCTTGTCCATATACTTCGTTGCTATTATCATTCTCCATCTTTGAATAACTCTTTTCATTTGTCAGTAATTGCGAACTGATTTTATGAGGTAATTTACAATGCGATAATTTTGAATCATTTACTTGCGTTTCCTCGATACCATCCGATGTTTCGCTACCAGAATTACTGACATGATTATCCTTTGTCAAACTCGAATTGTTCGATTTATTGCTTGTCACATTAGAATTTGAGTTGCTGGATGGTGAGGTTTTATTACTTGAACCGTTCGAACCATCCCTATCTGTAGAACGCCGATCATTCGAGTTTTTCCGTAAACTCGAATGATCATCCTTCGTTTTGGATTTTTTATCCTCTCTACGCTTTTTATCCTTAGATGGGCTATCGGATTTTGATTCCTTTCTACCATCTGATTTTTCGGGACGATCTGAACTCTTGCCCTGTTGTAAGTGGCTCTTCATGTCCTTCTTACTGTTTGTCGCTTTCTCGCTGCTCGTCTTGACATCCTTTTTCACATCTACCTTTCCCTTATCTTCTTTCTCACTTCTGGAAGCCTTCTTTGATTCTGATTTGTCAGATTTGTCCGATAAATCTGACTTGCTACTGTAATGATTTTTACCTTTACTCTCTTTCAGCAATCGTTTCTCATCTCGTTTTGCTTTATCCTTTGAATCTGATCGTTTATCTTTTCCATCTACAATCTTTTCCGACGTCTTGCTGCTTTTACTTTCATGATGACTCATAGGATTTTTTGACGATGATGATGATGATGATGAACTTTTGTGCTCTTTCTTATTTGATTTTTTATCTTTAAGGGGATCCTTTTTATCTTTAATCTCTTTAATAAGTTTAACATCTTTGTCCTTATTCAATTTTTCTTTCTCAGTCAATTCCTTCTTTTCTCGAAGTTCTCTAATTTTCTCCTTATAAATATCTTTCAAATCTTTCACTTCCTTATTAATATTATCTTTTTTATCCATTTCCTTAGGTTTCTCATCTTTGCATTTATTACTATTATCTTTTAAATTTTCTGGAATATCTTTAATTTTGTCAGAACTTTCCTTGACTTGATCAATTTTATCTTTAGGTTTACTTTTACTGTGTTTATCGTATTTTTCGCTGTTATGTTTATCATACTTTTCATTACTCGATTTCTTCCTCTCATTATTTTTATCTTTGTAATATTTTGTCTCCTTACTAGCAGCTTTTTCTTTTGTACTTTTTGATGATTTGATGGACTCACTATCTTTGTTCTTCTCTTTATTTTTATGCTCATATTTATCTTTAATAGTGCTATCTGTGGCATCACGAGAATTTTCTTTAGAAGATATACTTTTAGTACTCTTGAAATCTTTCGTATCTTTATAATCTTGCATATCTTTACTTTTAACAAAATCAAAATTACTTTTAGTCGATTTGTTTTTAGACAAATCGAATTCTCTGATTGCTTTGAAATTATCTTTACTATTTTTAGTAAAAGCTTCGCCTTTATCCTTTGTTGTTTCATCTCTCGAGGAATCATGAACTGGTGTTAAAGCATGATTAGAGGAACCAAAGTCTGTCACTATTGACAGCCGAGAATCCGAGGAAACTTTGCTAAGCTGAGAATCTTGATTGCTATACTCAAAGTTATCCCGCGACAATTCGTTGGAGAAATTTGGACTTCTAGATCGATGACTCGTTAATTCTGATATTCCCGATAAATGCGAATCGTTGGAAATGTTGGATTCATTTAAATTCATAATGTCAATAGGCTCAAATGTTGGACTGACTTCTTCCTCTTCTTCGTCCACTTTATCGTCCGATTTTGCAGTTGTGTTTAAGTTTGAATTACTCCCATCTTTACTTAAAATTTTACAAGCTTCGTCTAAAGTTTTTTCTTCCAAGGAAATGTATCCATTTTCTGAATCAGCTCTATTTTTATCCTTATATATTTCTCCTTCTTGTGGCTTCTGTTCGTCAACTTTCTCATCTTGTTTTTCATCAAGATTATTTATATCGTTTATATCCATAGATTCGAGAGATTCATCCTTCAAGCTGTTTTTATCAGACTCTGGCGAGACTGGGTCCAAATCTTTAGGTAATAAATCTTTAAGTCCGCAAGCGCCATTCTTTTCTTTTATCTTTGGCCTCTCTATACCCAGAAACTTATACACCACGTCTTCTATTTGTGGCATAAAAACTGAATAGACCTTGGGATTCACCACTTGGTCCACTATCCGTTCCACGCCAGCATCCAGATATGGTGCATCATGGATATGCTTGCGCAAAGTTTCTCTGAGCTGATTCTTGTTCAAATCTGGTTTCCATACTTGTTTACTGAGGAAAGAATTTACAGAGCCTTCAACCCTTGTCCTTAGATTTTGATATGCAGGCTGAAATTATACATATGTCATATTAGATATATTATATTAATATATATTTTATTAAATAAGTTAGTTTTTATATAATATATATGCAACATTTGTTCTAGAAATATATAGTACATCACTATTAAAAATTCAAATCTAAAAATTAAAACTTAACAAAAATATAACGATAATTGGTTATTAAAAGCTTTTGTTATATAAATATTATAAATCACATAAGTATCACATTATTATAAAAATAAAAATTAACATTTTTTACAGTTATGCTTTTTACAGTTATGCCTTATACTAAGACATGTTCGTATATTATTACTA